ATTTAACAATAGCAAAGAAAAAAATGTAGATTTATACAAAATTTAATATTTAAAATCTTTTGGTATATATAAAAAAATTTAAAAAAAATAATGTAAAGGTTAGATAATTTTTATTTATTCATCCGACTGACACTCATATTAATTATGGTAATTATAGATAAACTCGTAATGATTAAAAAAAGAGAGAAAAAATGATGATATCAACATTTACAACAATTAAAATATAAAGTGATCAATTTTCATCATGTATCTACTTGTAAACTTAGAAAATAAATTTTACAGTTGTTTTTGAAAGATTGTAAAGTCGAACATTGTTTGATAGTAATAGGTAATTTATTCCAAACGTCAATACTGAAATAAGAAAAGCGGATCATACCGTAAAAGAAGGAAGCGCGTCCAGCGTAACGGAAGGAAGCGGATCACACCGTAACAGAAGGAAGCGGATCATACCGTAACAGACGGAAGCGGATCATACCGTAACAGAAGGAAGCGCGTCCAGCGTAACGGAAGGAAGCGGATCACACCGTAACAGAAGGAAGCGGGTCATACCGTAACAGACGGAAGCGGATCATACCGTAACAGAAGGAAGCGGTCATACCGTAACAGACGGAAGCGGATCATACTGTAACAGACGGAAGCGGATCACACCGTAACAGAAGGAAGCGGGTCATACCGTAACAGACGGAAGCGGATCATACCGTAACGAAAAGGAGCGGATAACACAGTATTGAGTAACAGAAGAAAATTTATCAATTCGTAACAGAAGCAATTGGATCAAACCGAATCGGAGTGAAGCGGATCACGCCGTTATGGAAGGACGCAGATCATACCCCAGCAGAAAGAAGCGGTCATATCGTTATGAAAGGGAGAAGATCACGCCGTTACAGAAGGAAGAGGACGAATCTGCAATAGAAGGAAGTGGATCATACTGCAACAGAAAGGAAAAGGAAGATGATCTAACCGTTACGGAAGGAACTTTCAAAGTCAACTGCAGGCGTGCTTAGATACTCGTACATTTATCTTTGAATGCAGCTAAAAAGTGAGTGGGAAGGTGGTGTGGCGTTTTGAACATTTATATTTTTTCTTTTATACTGACATTGACATAGAATAATACGAGTTTTGTTTTGAATCTTGTTGGGACAAAGATCTATCCAGATGAACTCAGGTCAAACTACAAGTGACACAAAGTGTGGACATTAGGTTATGTAAAGTCAATGTATGACGTATGACAAAAAAGTACATGCGTGGAGTAATGACACATTTTTTAAACGAGCGGTTTTACTGTAAAACAGTATTGGTCAGATTATGTTTCATGCTAACCAATTTACCCCACTGTCTGTATCACGGTATTTTATTAAAAGAATTCAATTAAGTATGTGATAAAAGTATCACTTGTCAGTCACGAGAACTCTTACTTCATTTTAAAAAGCGACATTGAATCCCGTATTTACTGTCATGGATGTTACTTCAATCGTTGTAAATGATTACTGCTTTTGCTACTTGCCACACCTATGTGGGTTAAAATCCCACCAGGGACTATGGATATTTTTTCATGTGAGGAAACTATCCTGCTAGCTTACAGAACCTCAGTAGTTCTACTCGGGTGCCCACTCTTGCCTGAAATAATGCAAGGTCTTCCTTCGCCAGTATTTGCTGGAAAGTTGGCATGTGACCTTTTACAGTATGGAGGCGACAAAACAAATACTAGTAATAAAAAAATCAAATACTAGTAATAAAAAATCATTTTTTATACATATTATAAATTTATACATGTAATTACGTTTCATTCACATTTGCTTTTAATATTTATAAAAGAAAAACACAAGTAAAGACCATATAAATCTATTATTGATCTACAATACGATGGTTTTGCTTTACGCCATTCGATGCAGAACGTCATCGCGCACCTGCTGGCCTCTCATTTAAGTTTGCTTCAATATCGAAAAATGATTGGTAGGGCGTAAGTGCATGAGTTCAAAGGGAAATTTTATAATTTTATACTACAACGTAACTACACTGTTCTCAAATTTTATAAGTTAGGCCCTTTTAAGATTTTGATACGTTACTACAAACAGATAGTCAGATAGTCACACTTACGCACGTTAGGACTTTATCTCACGAGTCATGGACATACCTTGACACATTTTAAGGACATGCATTGTAGATAAGGGGGTCCAAGGTCTATTCCCCGGGAGAATAAGTGCAATTCTATATCTGACAAGAATCACTTGAGTCATCGTCTATGAATTGTCAATTCGATTATACAAAGTTTTATAACTTTTCATGCGATTGAATAACTGAATCACTGGAAACAAAATGTAAGGATTAAAGAAATAGCAATATTGCATTTAAACAGGCGCTTTGCATGTTTCGTACTATATAGGCCTCTAGTTGTACCTATTTATAATCAGGTAGGTGTAGGAGGAATGTCTCATCCCATAGACCGAGAAATTTCCAAAAAAGAAGCAACGATATTGCATTAAATTGTCTATATAAACATTCAAAATTTTGTCATGTTGAAGAATGTATATTCTACTCTGATAGCTTCATGTGGCCTAAATTTGCCTTTGTGTTTTGTAATAGATGCCGTATCAGTATGTGCATCATTGTACATTAAGCGGTAATTATGTTCCGCGCTTGACGTTTTAGTGCTTGAGTGAGCTTTTGTCTGTGATAGGAATATGTCTGTCGTTTGTCATTAACCACAAGTTCTTTAGAAATGTCTCTTTTACATAAATGTTTTCAGGAGACTACGACACAATACTCAGAGCTTAGATAGTTGATATGTAGCATACTTTGTGGGTTTTCCACACACAGAATGTATAAGTCATTTTAGTTTATTCTAGGAAAGAATCAATGTGTTTTACCTTCTAAAGGGTTTAATTTTTATATTTAAAAAGCAAAAAATCAAACATGGCCCGTTTTTAAAACATAAATTTAAAGTTAAAATCATACAATGTCATGGGATTTAAGACTAAAGATACTTTAAAAATGGTCACTTATTATATATAAATAATTCATTATTGTTATAGATAAAATAAAATTATAATTGTATTGAAAAAATAATAAATACACTAAAATCTAAAAGGGTATATATGGTAGTTACGCCCTATTTAGCTAAGTCCGAGTAACAATTTTAAAGAGCGTAACAGCTAGTTACCTCCTTTTTTGAATAATTGGCCGATGCATGAGAAAGTAAATATTAAAAGGGCATAAAACGGATTTCGTGAATGTTATGAAGATGATGGGTTATTTGAATCTAAAAAATGTTTTTAAAAAGTCGATATTTCTTGTTCTAAGTGTGTCCCATATTTTATCATGATTGAAAAAGGATCAAAGTCTGCAGACAGTTTTTTTTTTCAATTTCCCAAAACTTGTTAAAATGCATTTACGCCCTTATAGCACTAGACCTTCGAATAAAACGCGCTAAAATGTATAAAAATGCCTCATTGTGACTCATTGTACAATATTTGTTAATTAAAACCAAACCTTATAAAAGAACAATGCCATTTGCACACTATATCAAATAAAGCAATTCATTGGAAAGCGTTATTCTCAACATTAAATTTTGCAAACACTGTCGCAATGGGTGTTGACCGAAGCTAAAGGTTTGTTATAATAACACCGAGTAAGAACCTGTAGGAGCTGGTCCGTTAATGTTTTCTCTGAAGACAAAAAAAAAACTTTTAAAGAATGTTGTGTTCACATAGACATGTGTACTTTTCGGTCGTTCAAATGTACATGTACATACTTTGTAGTTGACACGCACGTGCTACATGAAATAATCACGTTCATGCTATTGTTCTAATTTATCACTCAGTGAACATGTTCAATTTTGGAATTACGGCCCATTTTCTGGACAAATGTTAACTGTACTTACCGAAGAACTATGAAAATACACACCTGTATTGACTAGATTTTAATTTAAGGGGAAGTGAAATACAAGGAATTCCAACTGTTTATCATAATTATACGTGTATCAACATTGTATTTAGCATAAACTTATACATGGATGTTGCACCAGTCAACCAAGACATCTATTTTTTTTAAAAGTGGCTGGTCAAAAATGTTATGTTTTTTTCTGCCCAAAGATAGCGTGAAATATCACAGAAGATAAACGACATCACTGTACCCTGTCTTGCGAGCCTATACAAGTCAATGTGCTCTGCGTCTTGAAATTACAAGCACGTGTTACTTCGATCACTGTAAATTTCTTTAGAGCCTTATATTTTAGCTTGAACCTCTCTTTAATATACCTGTTTATATATTGTAAATAGGGTTTACCGCTAGGGTTGATAATATATCCCCGCAGGACGGAAATTGTTGTTGGAGTCTAAAGTCCCTGATATAACCACACAAACAGAACTTTTTCCTGACTGATATCAATTAAGATGTTTGGGTTTGTTTGTTTGCTATGTTTTTGTTGTTGTTTGTTTTAAGGGTTTTTTTTTGTTGTTGTTTTTTTGTTGTTGTTTTTTTTTTTTTGGGGGGGGGGGGATGGGGGGAAGTGCATATTGACCCGCTGTTAATACGACATTTTAGGAAGTGAGGCTTTTAGGTTGATACCTGAATAGGAAGAAATACCTAGCACAAAAAAAGGCGAAATCAGAACTTAATGTTTGGAGGCTGTTATCCTTTTAGAAAAGAACTTGAAAATTCATGGCAAAGATTAGCGATTTGTAATTTGACCAATATAGCATACCGATCTTTACAAATATGGCGTAACACCGGTTTCGTTATTTGCACTGGTTGCACCGAATATTAATAAACCCATCAGAGGCACCTGCAACAAACGTGATTTCCACTTAGTCATTACAAAATGCAGTAATAATCATGCAACGAAGGGCAGTAAAATTCCAAAGGATAACAAAAAAATATTAGTACTAAACGCCGAGCACGTTTTCTGTGACGGACTTTGTCCGTTTAAAGAATTATTTCATCTTAAGCGCTCATGGACGTTTTGTACTTTGTATCTGAATTTCACTGTAACTAGGACTGTCACGCGCCGTCTTGATAACCAGCTGGTATATATAAGAGTGATAAGACAGTCTGCCAACTATAACGGTGTCTTATTGTACTCTACAAGGACAAAAAACAATCATGTTGAGAATCTTATTCGTGGTGGCTTCTTCGCTGGCTTTGGCCACAGCCCTCCAATTCACAGACTGTGGTAAGAGAAACTTTATATACTTATTTACTTTTTACCTTTATATAAATCGTTGTAGTTAAAAGAATGGAATTGTGAGTTAAAATTTTGTTTCAGTGTGAATATTAATGTATGTTTTAACAGTAATTAACAGTGTGGTTTTCTATGGAAGCAGATTCTGTTATTTTCTTCACTATTTCTACATAATGATGTGCCTGCATAATTGCTTGTAATATAATTTGATACATCTTTGACGTAGTTAAAGAAGCTAGTTACGACTTGATGGATAAAAGTTCTTAACTTTCTCAAGGGAATTGCAAATTAAATGTTTTACTTTCTTCAAAATGCTTAATCGGAATCGTATTAAATACTAGTATAATAAATAACTTTTCTTAAGAAATACCGTCTAAATATAAGTCAAAAAATTTGCATCCTTTTATCGTTTTGAAATAGAAAATATATTTTTCCTCGTTATCGTGTTTTTGTTCTAAGTAAATAAATAATATGGTGCGAATATTTTTAGATTTACTAAGACACAATTGACTCAGATCTCTGAGCGATTTATTTTTCAAATGGATTATAAAAAACTATACAAAGGTTTAAAAATATTAAATGATTCATATCCGTTCTTCTAATCAAGGGACATAAAAACTATCGTTTTTGGCATTTGACATTTTGAGTAATTTCCCATATAGCCTAAAAGAAAGACAAAATCTCATAGAAAAAAACGATGTTATGTATCTTTTAGTAGTTCAAAGGATATACCCGACTGATGCATGAACATCAGTTAATAGGTCGTTCCATCAAAATTGCTAACATATGTACTTCTCTTTTAGTAGATGCACTGTTCGTTTTTCCAACAAATAATTTTAATCCTTCTCTATTCTTCAACGTTATTTTTTTTAATTTGCGTGTCATTTCCACGACTAAGTGACTTTCAGTCTTTTCACATATTATGTTCCTGTTTGATCATTTTGTAACAAAGTAGTTTATGAACGATTTTGATATCATCTGATCGGTGTACTATCATTCTGATTTACAATATTAATAAGTTGATTGTTTAATAAAAGTGAAATGTTTTTCTTACAGCCACTGATCCTTCAAATACAGCCCTGACAGTTCACAGTTTAGATATATCCCCAGCTGTAATTGTGTTTCCGGGACAAATTCGTATCAGCACAAACATAACAGTTAACCAACGAATTACTCACCTATTTATTGATACAGTTCTTGAAAAAAATACGCTTGGAGCATGGACAAAAATTCCTTGCATAGGATCAACAAATATTGGATCATGGTAGGTATAAATTATGTTTAATTGTTACAATTATCATCACTAATAATATCCTCACTATCAATCGTCATGGTCATGATTATCACCATCATCATCATCAATATAATCACCAGCATAATTAAATAAAATCATAATTATTATTAATATCATCATTAATATCATCTCACCATCATAAGCACTACGATTATAATCATCATTATTACCAAATACAATAATATTATCATCTTTATTGTTATCATTATCAGCATCATCATAATAATCATAAGCATCACATTTATCATTATAAGCATCGTTATTATCATATGCATCATCATTATCATGAGGAATATCATTGAAGCGTGGCATCGTATATGAGATTACAAATCACATTTTATTAATGAATAGAACATCTTGCCAAAAAAAGAGCAGTTCTTAATACTTAAAACAGCCAGTTAAACACCATTGTTTAGTGAGCAGAACGTATCATGCTAAATAATTAAAATAAAAAATAACATAATTATGTTTTTTATTATTGTGACATGTGCATAACTTAATATTTAATTGGGATATATAAAGGCACCAAGCACATTGGAACTATATGTCTCAAAAAGAAATCAGAAAAGCGATTATAAGTAAAATAATTAAATATTTACTTTTTACAGCCAAAATATTGATTCTTGCACTATATTGGACAATATTCTGAACGGATCATCCGTCGTATCCCAGGATTTTGGCCAACAAATCGATGCCATTTTGTTGAAGGCGTTAGGACACAAAGCTTCGTGCCCAATAAGTCCCGAGTCAGTGGTTATTAACAATGAGTCTCTTACTCTACAAGCTCTACCATCAACTCTTAGTCTGATTTCACAAGTAAGTTTTTTGTTTTATGTGGGACATAATATAACCGGGACAGGCAACTATCTACTAGATAAGCCACCCGGTGTCAGCGTCCAATTGGGACGCGAGCGATCGATAAATGCAGTGTTTCATTCTTATCATTTTATTTATTTTACTTAAATACTATTATACTATTTTTTTATCATGTTTTAGTGCTTAACTCTTATATTTATGTCGTTATTACTATTGAACCGAGATAACGCGGTGCTAATCTTCAGTTCCCTTTCCCAATATAGTTTGTCACAGGCTCAGAAATTTGAAAACTATTTTATTTACTACTAAATTTAAATATATCAGAACATGATGTATAAAAACGGATCACTAACAGTAATTCATTTAAGTGAGCGAAATGTGTGGGTTTTCCTTCAAAACATTATTTTTCTGTTTAAGGGAAAATACAGAGTGACAATATCCGTAAAAGACGACCCGACCAACCCCGACAACCTTGGATGTATACAGTTCCAGGCTGAAATAGCCCGACATGTTGACCCGAACCAGGTTGGCTAGGACTTTGATTGAAAACACATCTTTACATACACACAATTCTGATCATCAAATCTGCATTTGCAAATAAACTGTTTACTAATTTTTATGTCGTCCTTATTATATAGTGTATCACGTGCCAAAAGTGAAAACTGTTATAGTATAAATGAAAAGGCTTAAAAGTAAAACATAGTCGGTTAATGTCACTAAAAATGTTAAGATCAATGTGATTAGGTATCATTAACCAATCGAATAACTTGTACAATGTATCTTCACAGCTATATAAATATACCAGATGTGTTTTAACTATTATTTCAATTTAATTTAAGTACCAACAATGGCGTGACATTTATTCTCTCAACTGTTTTGCAATTTTTATATGTAAAAAACGTGTAATAAATGAAATAATTTTTTTTTACTATTGTACAACGTGTTAGTAAATTCAACTTACAGTATGCAAGCTGAGTATGTATATTATATGAAAGCAAAGTCTATGATAATTAACTATCCATGCACCAGGACAAATGTAACCCTGGTCACAAAATCCCAATGTAACCCTGGTCCCAAATCCCGAATGTAACCCTTGTCCCAAATCCCAAATGAAAGCGAGGATAGCTGAGAAAGGAACACTTTTACCTCAAGTTTATCCCCGTACTGCATGATCAAGTCGATGTTTTTTTTTTTTTTTAGTTTTATATGTCCCACTTACAGTATGAGGACAACAAACGGGGCCTTTATAATGAAAGCTTCTCAACTATGCAAGGCCTTTACTTGGTACCCTAGATATCCCTTAAACGATGGGGGCCGGGGTCGCGTAATATTACCACGCGTGTGATAATAACACAACACCGGGTTTACAATCGTCTGGTGCATTATTCAAAGTATTTGCTACCTTCTTTGGTAGTAACGTCAGCCACGTGACTACATCTGAAATAAGACAGGTGCTTATTCTGCACCTTGATGAATGCCCATTATAAGAAATATTATGCTGGACAATAGCCCTTGCATGCAGAAACTTAACCGAAGTGTGGCGCCGACGCCTGGGTGCATGGACACTAGAGATCTCCCTAGTCTCTGAAAACTGAAATTTGCAGTAGAGTACTATACCTATTCCACTCTTTTGATTAAGGGGACACAACTTGGGAATGCACGAGATCTTCAAATAGCATCGTAGATCTTCTGGTGATACAAGTTGTTGCAAGTTTGTTACACTTAGACAATTTTTTATTGTTTAGGGTCTGGAAGGGCCGACAACTCTGGAGTCAAACATGATGGTATCAGGGTGCTTTATGAAATGAACTAAATTCAACTGATTCAACTTAAGCGGAATTTGGTTCAAATAAAAACTTTGTAGCTGCTTTTGTACAATCAATCAAAATTTTGGGTCCCACATAGACTTGACAACAGATCCGCATCGATCTTTAAAAGCTCACATGAGCACTGGATAATCATTCATACTTATAAATATACATTGAGATCGTGTAACAAACACCAGATGAAAGTATAAATGCATTTATTAAATAATCATATATATATATAAATATTACAGAATCACTTGGAACACATTTAAAACAATGGTTTATTTTCATATTTCCTTCACTAGGGTCTTTCAAATAGAATTCTATTTGAAAGACCCTGTACTCACATATTTTTTTTACGTTTTAACACGGTTTGGTCATCTTACCTTGATACAAGGTTATCACCAACTTCTCTTCAAAGGACCAACTACTTATGAAATAGCCATACGAGACAAAAGATATTGAGTGAGACTAAAAAAAGGATTGGAGCACCACACTAAATACCGTATTCCGGTATAGACCGGACAAGGCGCTTGAATTATAAAATGCTAAAATCTTGCCTTTTAACCCAACGGAATGAACTTTAATAGGTCTAATTCATCTTTTCACACCGAATTATGTATGATAATGAATGAAAAATGTAACAAGAGGGCCATGATGGCCCTGAAATCGCTCACCTGTATATAGGCCCCAGGGGCGGGGCTAATTTTAATCCAGGGGCTTTTATTTGAACAAACTTGGTAGACACCCATTAGAGGATGTTTCATGATAAATATCTAAGCTCTAGCTCTAAGAAAATCTTTAAGTTTTTACTAAACACATATAGTGATAAACAATGACCCACCCCCTCTGTGCGGGCCAATTTTGTCCCCAGGGCTTTTATTTGAACAAACTTGGTAAACACTCACTAGAAGATAATTCATGCTTAATATCTAAACTCTATCTCTTTGGGCTTTTTAACAGAACATTTTTTCAGTTTTTACTATATACATAAAAGGAAAATCAATGATCCCCGGGCGGGCCCAATTTTTTAACCCCAGGGCCCTTAATTTAACAAAAATGGTAGACACTCATTAGAAGATGTTTCATGCTAAATATCTTAGCTCTAGCTTTTTTAAGATTTTTTAAAAGAAGATTTTTTATGTTTTAACTATATACTGTACATAAAAGGAAAAACAATGACCCCCTGGGGCGGGGCCAATTTTGACCCGCTGGGCTTTTATTGGAACAAACTTGTTAGACACCCACTAGAAGAGGTTTCGTGCTTAATAGCTAAGCTCTAGCTCTTTGGGTTTTTTTAAAGAAAATTTTTTAAGTTTTTACTATATGCATATAGGGTAAATCAATGACCCCCTGGGGCGGGGCAAATTTTGACCCTAGAGCTTTTATTTGAACAAACTTGTTAGACACCCACTAGAAGAGGTTTCGTGCTTAATAGCTAAGCTCTAGCTCTTTGGGTTTTTTTTAAAGAAAATTTTTTAAGTTTTTACTATATGCATATAGGGAAAATCAATGACTCCCTGGGGCGGGGCCAATTTTGACCCTAGGGCTTTTATTTGAACAAACTTTGTAGACACTGACTAGAAGATGTTTCATGCCAAATATGTAAGCTCTACCTCTTTGGGTTTTTTAAAAGAAGATTTTTTAAGGTTTTACTATATGCATATAGGGAAAATCAATGACCCCCTGGGGCGGGGCCAATTTTGACCCCAGGGCTTTTATTTGAACAAACTTGGTAGACACTGACTAGATGATGTTTCATGCCAAATATCTAAGCTCTAGCTCTTTGGGTTTTTTAAAAGAAGATATTTTAAGTTTTTTCTATCGGTTGCCATGGCAACCAGAGTTCTGCATGGAATTAAATTCTTTGAACAATTTTTAAAGGTGACCACCAAAGGAACATTCCTGTGAAGTTTGGATGAAATTGGCCAAGTGGTTTATGAGGAGATGTCATTTAAAGTAAAAGTTTACGGACGACGGACGGACGGACGCCGGACGAAAAGCGATCACAAAAGCTCACCCTGTCACTTTGTGACAGGTGAGCTAAAAAACGGAGAAAAAAAACAATACTTGTCTATTTTGTGACCATGATTTCTGCAAGCGTCTAGAGGTACTGCTCCAATCCTGTATTGAGTTAAATCCAAAGATATTTAGGATTAAGTGCTTACATGAAAGTAAGTTATATTTATCAGATTCCAAGTAAAAACAAACTAGTGTCGTATGTACATAAAAACTATTTTGAACAGTGTCGGCATGGCTAAGTGGTTAACATGTTGGACTAGTAAACCAAGGATCACTATCCGCAACGGTTCAAACCCCATCAGAGACAAGCCTTTGTTACATTAAGCAAGAAACTTTTCACCCAATGCTCAGTACTGGTTGGTTCCAGGAGCAGATTCCAGAGAGAGTATCTATAATTTTTTAGCTTAATGTAATCAAACTACAATAAATTCTGTATAAACAAAAACATGGTTTCAAGATAAACAACCATTTCAAGCAGTCTGAGATTATTTTTCAACTGATTTTACATCACAAAGAGCTGGTGACATCATAAGGTTTTATATTAATCATGTAAAATATAAAGAAATATGATATGGATATACCAGTATTAGTAATACATTGAAAACAAGCAACCCCATGTGATTATTGAATATATCTCATTGAGAAATTCTTAATATTTTTTAAACTTCTATACACATGTAAAACATCTATACTTTTTTCATAAAAAAATGCCAGATATTACCCAAAATGATGCCAAATAACAAAATTATATCTTTTTATTTTATGCTTTTCAGTGGATTACTGATTTATCCGTGAAAATTATATTTGATAATTTCACAGTGAAAATTATCAAAATGTAATTTCACTTTTTTCAATGACGAAACTACTTTTTTAAGATTTTTCCCATGTGGTACCTCAATTTAATTTTTACTGACAATTCTGACAATGTCAGGCTGTTAAAAGAAATAGCAAAGCTGAAATAGATAAATAACTTAAATGTCAAAAGTAATAAAGAGAGAAAACTTACTTCTATTCATTCAAATTCCAATCACCAAATTTCGTCTCTAAATTTTTTTGTTTCGTTTTTACAGTCTGAAAAATATATTCCTTCCCCATGCAAAACTGCTCTTGATGACATTTGGGCATATTAAGGTATCCTACGAGCAATAACTGCCGTATGCTTTATGAAAAATTGAAAAGCATTGACAGCCATCACTCGTAGAATAAGTAAAATAACCCAGCATTCCTTAGCAAGCTTCCAAGTTTTCAATTTTCTTAGCTCCTTTTCTGAATGTTTTCACTTCTGTCAACACTTATTTTTTGTCTGTTACAATCCTCAAATAAGTTTTTTTTTTCTTTTAAAAAGGTGTATGACTAACAAATCCAAATTATATCCCCCTGAATCTTACACAATTATTTTCCTCCCATGAAACACAGGCAATCGGTGCGTGGCTTGGATAGTATACATGTACATGACCATTATTTTTTTATAAATTTTTTTTTTTCACTAATAAAATATTTTTTTATTCAAAATGTTTTTAAAATATCTTATTTTCAATAAATCAACAAAGAAAATTTGTTTTTAAAAAATTTCATCCATATATACTATTAATATAGTAAAGGTAGAAAGGTTCGCCAGCGGACCTACCACCAGGCCTTATGTTACCTCCCAGATCTTTGTTAATTGTCAACCAATTTTCACCAAATAAAGTGCAATCTACGCAGAAATGATTTCTCTTTCGAAAAATGTACAATATTAGAACAGTTGGTTCGACAAAAGATGGAATTTTAAAGCGAAAATGCACTTTTTGTCTAGGTCGGCCATCGCTTGACCGAGCCGAAAGTAGACGATTTTGAACATAAATCGATCTTTTTCTTAATAACAAACTAATGTCAGTGTATGCAAACAGTTGAAACAGAAAAGGAAGCTATAATACTATCGCTTACCGGTCCAAAGTAAATCCAAAACGTCTGCAGGTACGCACTTTCTGTAGTTATTTGCACTAACTTTTTAAATTTCCCGACATTGTACATGTATACAAATTCTGATCCGGATATTCAAGGTACGCATGCTCGGTTCCCGCTGGTACCCAGCTTCGCTCAATTTTTATTATGCGAAAAGGGGTACGCATCAGGTACATCCGGGTCAGCATTTGTATACATGTAATGTCAGGGAATTTAAAAAGTTAGTGCAAATAACTACCGAAAGTGCGTACCTATACAGACGTTTTGGATTAACTTTGGACCGGTAAGCGATAGTATTATAGCTGCCCTTTCTGTTTCAACTGTTTGCATGCACTGACATTAGTTTATTATTAAGAAAAAGATCGATTTATGTTCAAAATCGTCTACTTTCGGCTCGGTCAAGCGATGGCCGACCTAGACAAAAAGTGCATTTTCGCTTTAAAATTCCATCTTTTGTCGAACCAACTGTTCTAATATTGTACATTTTTCGAAAGAGAAATCATTTCTGCGAAGATTGCACTTTATTTGGTGAAAATTGGTTGACAATTAACAAAGATCTGGGAGGTAACATAAGGCCTGGTGGTAGGTCCGCTGGCGAACCTTTCTACCTTTACTATATTAAAAGTATATATGGATGAAATTTTTTAAAAACAAATTTTCTTTGTTGACTTATTGAAAATAAGATATTTTAAAAACATTTTGAATAAAAAAATATTTTATTAGTGAAAAAAAAATATATATAAAAAAATAAGTGGGCGTGGTCATGTACATGTATACTATACAAGCCACGCACCGATTGCCTGTGCCATGAAATACACATTGAACTTTTAAAAAATGGCTGCCGTTTACATTTTACAAAGCCAGGTCTAATATAAATTCGCAGTAAGTAACAGAAATATGGATGGATGGTTGGACTTTTTCTCCTACAAGAATTGTTTGTTTTTATTGTTAAAACAAGCGATCATTCATATTTTTTATTAAAATGAATAAATATCACCGTCATTTAACCTTGATTGGCGGACTTATTCTTCAGCTCAAAACTTCTTGTTTTTAATGTGAAATTCCGTCTAAATGGGGCTCTCAATGGGGGAAACAAATTTTAATAGTAACGTTAAAATTATGGAAATTTCGTTTTAACTTGTTTTTAAGCATAAAATAAAAAGAAAATTTGTCTGTTTGTTGTGTAAGATGTAATTTTATTTCATCTCGTGAACTTTAAAAACAGTATTCTCACTCGTGGCTACGCCACTCGTGAGAATACTGTTTTTAAAGCCCACTCGATGAAATAAAATTTCATCTTACACACAAACAAACAAATATCCTCTATATACACTTTGAGCTATCTTTTCTTATGTTTTACAATGAATAAAATGAGTACCTAAATTCTATATTTCTTTCAGCTTCAAACAGTGGGATATGACATAATATCTCATAGATGTATTTTAGTATCTCATTAAAAAGCGTAAGTTTAAACATCATTCTTAAACTTTTTTTTGTATCCAATATCATAAATAATTCTGGTCAAATCCTTTTTCTGTACATTTAATATAACTGCATGTTCTTAAATAGAAAATTAATTCAGTATTACTGAATGACTTAATGGAATAATTCCTTTTGCATTATCATTTATTTAAATACAAATTCTTTTTAATTATTAACATACATCAATATATATATATTTATATTTGTCATCATATGCTTAACATATTCAGCTGACAATACACCGTAGCATTTGATCACATATGCTTAATTCAGTCTATTATTTAAGGTGACTTATAAGCCCATGTGGACGACGAGTGTTGCTTTATTCTATTTTGTAAAAATATGTTTATATTGTATGTTGTTAACATATGTCACTATAATAAACAATTTATCTCTACAAAGACCACTGTATAGAACAAAAATATGAGCCGCGTCATGACAAAACCAACATAGTGCGTTTGCGACCAGCATGGATCCAGACCAGCCTACACATCCACGCAGTCTGATCAGGATCCATGCTGTTCGCTTACCAACTCTATTACAAGTAGAGAAACTGATGGCCAACAGCATGGATACTGATCAGACTGCGCGGATGCGCAGGCTGGTCTGGATCCATGCTGGTCGCAAACGCACTATGTTGGTTTTGTTGTGATGCGGCTCATATCTTGTTTTGAGGTACCATACAACAACAGTTTTTTCTCTTTGCTTTGATAGAAATGACACCATTCTCTCCCTCTCAAGCTAATAGTTGTCTACGTAAACATATCTTGTGATACGTCCCCCGCGTACTTCTCTACATCTCCCACAATGTCGTATTATCGTCAATGTAGAGCGAGCAACATTATCAATCTTCAAACCTCCTGTGTCTTTAAGATCCTCGTCAACAATGAAATAACATCCTGAAAAAAAAAACATTGATTTTATGAATCTTATACATGAGTGAATAAAAAAAAATTCTACATTATGTGTATGTCTTTTTTTTTTTAAAGTAAATGTATAATTAATGCTAAAGTACATTGTATAATAAATGATAAGATATATTATAACTGTATTGTATCATAGTTTAGAGACCTTTATGCTAAAAATGTGCAGGAGTTAAATCATATATTAGTATACCCATAAAAACACAGTGTGTTATATGGAATGCACCAGCACTCCAGTTACCAAACTATCTGAGATAAAAATAGAGCTTGCTAGTTGACCTGAGGTTTACTTATTGTGACGACAGGGAAAAGGTAAAATGATAGAAAAATCATATGAAGATGCTTGTACATTGGTTCATTTATTCTGGGGGGTTTCATGTTGTGAGGACAGGGAACATGTTGTGTTTTTTATGCCTTTGATACAACAGAGAAAGAGGCTATGCCCCCTTGTAAAATTAGATAGCCTTGTGTGCCAATGCTCTTTCTATTATTTGTATTCAAATTTTGATAATTAATTAATTTTGAGAAATACATATAAATGGATTTTTTTTTGATTTTTTTTATTTGAAGGCTGAGGCTTAAAGCATTGGTAAATGTTATCAAACTGATCACAGACTTATTTATTGTTATTTGTGGTGTATTAGAACTACAAACTACATTTGTGAATTTCTCTTAAAGGCCCATAATGTCTCAGAAATGCTAAAAAGCTTATTACTCACAAGCTTTTTATTTTTCATTTCTTGTTACAGTTTCCTTAAAATGCTAATTTGCCGCATAAATTACCTATCTAAGACTATTGCTTCTTTTTCTTTGTTGGCAATTGATATATCTATAGTGATTTAGTATTTTGTATGTATGTATAAGTCAAAATACTACTTTGTTTACATTTTCCAACCTTTATGACACATTACTGAACATTAAGCTATGCTATGCTATTTTGATACAATTTTGTATGAAATCTGAAAAATCAAAAAAATTTGACTATTTACGAAACCCATACCCTTTGTTTCTTTTGTTTCCTGTGCCTTGTAAGCTTCACAACGCTTCCTATTTGCATCATTTAATGTCGCCTTTTTCTGTTTAAGAAGCTTGTACTTGGCTCTGTAGGATTTGTTCATTCCTTCAATGAACTTATTCACACTGTCGTATGTTATGCGACCTTTTATATATCTGTTACAGTAAATGAAAGAAAATTGATATTAATACACAATGCTTAAAGATATATGAGCCGTGCCATGACAAGACCAACATAATGGGTTTGCGACCAGCATGGATCCAGACCAGCCTGCGCATCCGCGCAGTCTGATCAGGATCCATGCTGTTCGCTATCAGTTTCTATACTTGTTAAACGGTTTGTCAGCGAACAGCATGGATCCTGATCAGACTGCGCGGATGCGCAGGCTGGTCTGGATCCATGCTGGTCGCAAACCCATTATATTGGTTTTGTCATGGCATGGCTCATATTATGCTCAAATTTTATATTTTGTATTTATAATTCCTACACAGTCTCTTCGTAAATATAAAATAAACATGTTTCAAATTCACAAAAAGTAGCTATGTTGTGTTTAAAATTCTACACCCTATAGGTGGTTACAATATGAATATAATAATGTCATTAAAAGAACTGGCAGATTTTTAAAGAAAAGACTAATTTTACTTGACCTGTAATAGGAAACGCAGCTTCCAATACATAATTTATTCATTCTTTTATTCAAATCGGACATATTCGGTAAGAATTATATAGATTTGATAAAAATATTTTACGCAAGGATGAGCATAGTATATCTTTAATGTTTATTCTACTGGAACTAAAAGTGATTAACATCAAAATCAATTGCTCATATTGCCTAGGTTAGTTGTCAATATTGAATTAACATCCTGTCGATGCAGGCACGTCATACATATACGCTCTATTTTCATTTTACCAAAACAACTTATAAAAATTTTGCCAATGTAAGATAAAATCACTAGCGATTTTTCCAAAATTCACTCGGATTTTGCGAATATGCAAGCGGAAAATTCCAACCCTCATTATTAAACTTGTATGCTATGTCAATAATTAGATAGTCGCGAACTCATTAACAAACATTGGCATTTTTACATTTTTGCAATACTGGAACCAAAATAATACCCACTTTGGAACCTGTTCGAATTCCTCTGTTGTTAAGAATTCTATCTCAGGGAAATATGTGTTTTCTAGCCGCCCTGTTTGTTGATTTGCTTCTTGATGTTGAGTAGCTCCCTGCTGTTTACATTTTGTTTTTGTAGCAGCGTCACCATGAGTCAATGCTTTCACTACCATCACCGGAACTTTAACTGTGGTCGCCGGCTCATCACTGAAATATGGAAATGTTTCAAGAAACTTGCAGTTCATACAAAGATACATTTTTGTTGTGTCTGAAGGTTACCCTGATATGGTGACTATACAGATTTGATGGGGGAGGAAGACGCCAGTTGCGGCCCATGCAAGAGGGGGTATCTAAGTGCAACCAGTTGCGACTTATGAAAGAGTGGTTGTCTAAGTATAACCACCGTTCGACATTCCATAGGCTAGTTGTATAGCTTCCTGATATAATGTAAAAGATTTAATTTTGCTGGACCGACAGTTTTTATGTAACTTTTGTGGGACTCCCATCAATAATGGTGGAATAGGTGAAAGAGTTTTGCAAAATGCGTATATCAAATTTAAAACAAGGACGTTTTATCTGGAGAAGCAACTATATACACTACTATACAGTATTGGGGAGCATAAATTAATACACCCATAAACACTTTCTATATGAACTACATACATCTATATGAACTACATACACCCATAAACACTTTCTATATGACAAAAACTACATAAACAACACGAGGTATATCAAATGAATGAAATTGAGTAAAATCGATATCTCTTATGCTAAAACAATACAAATTAAACAGTTTGTAAACCGCTAGTTTGTTGTCCGATTTTAAAATCTATTACACCAATGGAAATCTCTGGATCTTAGCTTCGTCACAGTATATACTTCAACACATGTTTTTTGACACCAAAGTATATAAATTAACTGTTAAACCTGCCATATGTCAGACCATTTTACATAGGATTTATACAGTGAAATACGCAACCGGTTATCTTTACTCGAAAATCTACTAATAAGAATAGCCTGTTGTCTGCTAGTTTGGAAAGTGTTTGTCGCTGTATTGATAATATTCAAATACAAATAATAAAACTTACCATGGAATGTTCTTTTTACGTGTAGGTAATCTCTCTGGAATATTTTCAACCATATATTCAAGCTTCTTCTTCCATTCTATCATTATGTTATTTAAACACTGAAATGTATAGTATCATATTCTTTATAAACTATGAAGAAGAATTTTTTTATATTTTATTAAAGCATTGGAGCCACCTGTGTCGACCTGCCTCTATTCAAAAAATCCTTTGCACTATACAGTCAAACTTGTCAACCAAGGCCACAAAGGGGCAAAAGCGATTTTTTCCCTGTATTTTATAGCTGAATAAAGGCGGTTTCCCCTAGACCAAAATAGATATATTTTCCCCTAAAAATGCTGTATTTTCCCTTAATTGTCCTGTGCACTTCTTCACCAGAAACATGATTTAAAAGCAGCTGACTTATTTCAGCTAGTTGATAGATTTAATTGACTGAAAGACAGAAAGCTGACCCTATAGATAAAAGATAGTCTCTGCTATGTATCATTCATGTTAAATTGAATTAATTTGAAAATTTTATTAAATGTTTTCAGTTGTTAAATTTATAATTCAGATTGCCCCCCTTCTTTCTTGTTTATCATGCTTTATTATATGATCTAATTATATGATCTAAATACAGCTGCAATCTCATTGGTCCAAACAGTAGTCAACATAACTTTTTAGAGAATCATATTCATTGGGTGTAGTATCATATTCACTGGCTAAATTGGATTTTCCCAGTCTAAAAATAGTTTGAGACTAATATTCAATGACCATATATCGTTGACTGTTAATTACGCGTGGTTATTGAAACAAGAGGGCCATGATGGCCCTGAGGTCGCTCACCTGTATATAGGCCCCCAACCCCCCACCCCCCCCCCCAACGCTGCAGGGCCAATTTAACCCAGTAGCTTTTATTTGCACAAACTTGGTAGACATCCATAAGAAAATGTTTCATGCTAAACATCTAAGCTCTAGCTCATTGGGCTTTTTAAAAGAAGATTTTTTTAAAGTTTTTACTATACACATATAGTTAAAAACAATGCCACCCCTGGGGCTGGGCCAGTTTTGACCCCAAGGCTTTTATTTGAACAAACTTTGTAGACACTTACTAGAAGATGTTTCATGCTTAATATCTGAACTCTAGCTATTTGGGTTTTTTCAAAGAAGATTTTAAGTTTTTGCTATACACATGTAAAGAAAATCAATGACCCCCGGGGCGGTGCCAATTTTGACCCCAGGGCTTTTATTTGAACAAACTTTGTAGACACTCACTAGAAGATGTTTCATACTTAATATCTAAACTCTAGCTATTTGGGTTTTTTCAAAGAAGATTTTTTAAGTTTTTGCTATACACATATAAGGAAAATCAATGACCCCCTGGGACGGGGCCAATTTTGACCCCAGGGCTTTTATTTGAACAAACTTGGTAGACACTCACTAGAAGATGTTTCATACTTAATATCTAAACTCTAGCTATTTGGGTTTTTTCAAAGAAGATTTTTTAAGTTTTTGCTATACACATATAAGGAAAATCAATGACCCCCTGGACGGGGCCAATTTTGACCCCAGGGCTTTTATTTGAACAAACTTTGTAGACACCCATTAGAACATGTTTCATGCTAAATATCTTAGCTCTAGCTCTTTGGGCTCTTTAAAAGAAGATTTTTTAAGTTTTTACTATATGCATATAGGGAAAATCAATGACCCCCTGGGGCGGGGCCAATTTTAACCCCAGGGCTTTTATTTGAACAAACTTTGTAGACACTCACTAGAAGATGTTTCATGCTAAATATCTTAGCTCTAGCTATATGGGTTTTTTCAAAGAAGATTTTTTAAGTTTTTGCTATACACATATAAGGAAAATCAATGACCCCCTGGGGCGGGGCCAATTTTGACCCCAGGGCTTTTATTTGAACAAACTTGGTAGACACTCACTAGAAGATGTTTCATGCCAAATATCTTAGCTCTAGCTCTTATGGTTTTTTAAAAGAAGATATTTAAAGTTTTTTCTTTCGGTTGCCATGGCAACCAGAGTTCTGCATGGAATTAAATTCTTTGAACAATTTATAAAGGTGACCACCAAAGGAACATTCCTGTGAAGTTTGGATGAAATTGGCTCAGTGGTTTATGAGGAGATGTCATTTAAAGTAAAAGTTTACGGACGGACGACGGACGAAAAGCGATCACAAAAGCTCACCCTGTCACTTTGTGACAGGTGAGCTAAAAATAATTGTTGCGTTTTGTTCTTTATGGTATATTTCTCGATTAAAATATCAATTCTTTACTATTTAAGATAAAGTTACACCGCAATCATGAGTATAAACTTGAATTACTTTTGTATGCGCATTGTTAGCATAGTTGTTGCACGCCTTCCACATGCATCTTTTTCCCGCGCTTTAACGAAACAGACAAAAGTTGTACATGTATAAGGTTGTATTTACTGTGATTTTCTTTAAATTTTTTAGCCTTTTCATATAATAAAACAATTATTGACAAGTGAACCATTAAACATGATGTGATATTCACCGGAAGAAAGTCATATTGACCTCGGCTATCGCCTCGGTCAATATGTCATCTGCCAGTGAATATCACATCATATTCAATGGCACACTAGTCAAGAATTGTATAATATTCCCATTCAGAAAGCCACTGCCCATAGGTTGAAAAAATTGCTGTTGCAACTGACAAAGTTTCACTCAGTTTCAAACAGTTAGATATTAATTATCCCTCACTGATATTCACAGTGATAACATTTAACAATATTAGTTGCAAAAACATTAGAACATATATAATCAGTGATTTTTTTCTTTTGTGTGTATACCGGCTTTTTCCAATTGATAAAATTACTGTAAAAAAATTTAAATTGTGAATATTTCCCCCGACCAGGCTGCCTTTTAAGTATATTTACAAGGATTTGGCCTTTTTAGCTCACCTGTCACAAAGTGACAGGGTGAGCTTTTGTGATCGCTTTTCGTCCGGCGTCCGTCCGTAAACTTTTACTTTGAATGACATCTCCTCATAAACCACAAAGCCAATTTCATCCAAACTTCACAGGAATGTTCCTTTGGTGGTCACCTTTAACAAGAGGGCCATGGTGGCCCAAAGTCGCTCACCTGTATATAGGCCCCTGGAGCGGGGCCAGTTTTAACCCCAGGGCTTTTATTTGAACAAACTTGGTTGTATATGTATGCATGTGTATATATATATATATATATATATATATATATATATATATATATATATATATTTATATATATATATATATGTGTATATATATATATATATATGTGTGTGTGTGTGTATATATTAGGGTTTCTTAATCGGACAAAAATCATAATCGATCATCGAAAATAATCGAACAACCTTTTTCGATCAATCTTCGATTATATAATCGAAACATTTATGATAACAAAGTAAATATGTACAATGCACATGTCATGCTTTAATATTTATAAGAATTCCATTAATATTTTATATTTTGTGTAACTACCACTTAATCAACTGAAATAAACTAGTTACTCATGCTTATGTTCATCCTGGAGTAAAATATTTTAATCAAATAAATTCATTATATCTATGAAATTATTATGTCTCAATTCCAATAAAGGAATGAATAAGCTATGTATGGGAACAAGAGAAGTTGGTCATTAATAAAAATGCCAGGTTTTTTTAATGACACTATATATTTATATTGTAACCATCTTTAGATTAGTGTGTAGAATAATTTTATACATATCTTCTTTGTTTGAAGTAAAAACATGTTTATTTAATATTTACAAATAGACTGTGTAGCAATTTTCTAATTTCAAATTTGAGCATTATTTTTTAAGTATGTCTGTAAACTAGAATGCCTCACTGTCAACTATTAACCTCATGGTCACCAGTATGCTTTCTCATTCATTTTAATGAAAATTATTGGGTAAACCAAAGCTCAGGCTTTAATTTAAAGTGTTGTTATAATACAGTGAGTCACTTAAGTAACAGCAAGAAGATAAATAACCGATAATCGATTATTGAACTTTGTATTCGATCATCGCTAATGGATCCTATAAACGATCAATTTTCGATTATACTCGATCATCGTTTAATCCCTAGTATATATATATGTGTGTGTATATATATGTATAATATATATATATATATACATACATATATATATATATATATATACATATATATATATACATATACATACATATATATATATATATATATATATTTATATATAAATATTAAATATATATGTGTATATATATAATATGTATATATCTAAAAAAAAAAAAAGTCAAGCTAATGAATGACCCCCGGGGCGGGGCCAATTTTGACCCCAGGGCTTTTATTTGAACAAACTTGGTAGACACCCATGAGAACATGTTTCATGCTAAATACTTAGCTCTAGCTCTTTGAGTTCTTTAAAAGAAGATTTTTTAAGTTTTTACTATATGCACATAGGGAAAATCAATGACCCCGGGGGGCGGGGCCAATTTTGACCCTAGGGCTTTTATTTGAACAAACTTTGTAGACACTCATTAGAAGATGTTTCATGCTAAATATCTTAGCTCTAGCTCTTTGGGTTCTTTAAAAGAAGATTTTTTAAGTTTTAACTATATGCATATAGGGAAAATCAAAGACACCCTGGGGCGGGGCCAATTTTGACCCTAGGGCTTTGATTTGAACAAACTTGGTAGGCACTCATTAGAAGATGTTTCATGCCAAATATCTAAACACTAGCTATCTGGGTTTTTTCAAAGAAGATTTTTAAGTTTTTGCTATACACAGTCATATAAGGAAAATCAATGACCCCCGGGGCGGGGCCAATTTTGACCCCAGGGCTTTGATTTGAACGAACTTTGTAGACACTCACTAGAAGATGTTTCATGCTTAATAGCTAAACTCCAGCTATTTGGGTTTTTTTAAAGAAGATTTTTTTAAGTTTTTGCTATACACATATAAGGAAAATCAATGACCCCCAGGGCGGAGCCAATTTTGACCCCAGGGCTTTTATTTGAACAAACTTGGTAGACACCCATGAGAACATTTTTCATGCTAAATATCTTAGCTCTAGCTCTTTGAGTTCTTTAAAAGAAGATTTTTTAAGTTTTTACTATATGCATATAGGGAAAATCAATGACCCCCTGGGGCGGGGCCAATTTTGACCCTAGGGCTTTGATTTGAACAAACTTGGTAGGCACTCATTAGAAGATGTTTCATGCCAAATATCTAAGCTCTAGCTCTTACGGTTTTTTAGAAGAAGATTTTTTAAGTTTTTCTTATTGGTTGCCATGGCAACCAGAGTTTTTAATGGAATTTAAATTTTTGAACAACTTTGAAAGGGGTCCACCTAAGGATCATTTCTGTAAAGTTTGGTTGCAATTGGCCATGTAGTTTAGGAGGAGATGTTGTTTGAAAAGTTTGACGCCATTTTTTGAAGGACGCACGACGCACGACGGACGCAGAGTGATGACAAAAGCTCACCTTTGAGCACTTCGTGCTCAGGTGAGCTAAAAATTGTTCAAAGAATTTAATTCCATGCAGAACTCTGGTTGCCATGGCAACCAAAAGAAAAAACTTTAAATATCTTCTTTTAAAAAACCCAAAGAGCTAGAGCTTAGATATTTGGCATGAAACATCTTCTAGTGAGTGTCTACCAAGTTTGTTCAAATAAAAGACCTGGGGTCAAAATTGGCCCCGCCCCAGGGGGTCATTTATTTTCCCTATATGCATATAGTAAAAACTTAAAAAATCTTCTTTTAAAGAACCCAAAGAGCTAGAGCTAAGATATTTAGCATGAAACATGTTCTAATGGGTGTCTACAAAGTTTGTTCAAATAAAAGCCCTGGGGTCAAAATTGGCCCCGCCCCGGGGTCATTGATTTTCCTTATATGTGTATAGCAAAAACTTAAAAAATTTCTTTGAAAAAACCCAAAGAGCTAGAGCTAAGATATTTAGCATGAAACATGTTCTAATGTGTGTCTACAAAGTTTGTTCAAATAAAAGCCCTGGGGTCAAAATTGGCCCTGCCCCGGGGGTCATTGATTTTCCTAATATGTGTATAGCAAAAACTTAAAAAATCTTCTTTGAAAAAACCCATATAGCTAGAGTTTAGATATTAAGCATGAAACATCTTCTAGTGAGTGTCTACCAAGTTTGTGTAAATAAAAGCCCTGGGGTCAAAATTGGCCCCGCCCAGGGGGTCATTGATTTTCCTTATATGCATATAGTAAAAACTTAAAAAATCTTCTTTTAAAGAGCCCAAAGAGCTAGAGCTAAGATATTTAGCATGAAACATGTTCTAATGGGTGTCTACAAAGTTTGTTCAAATAAAAGCCCTGGGGTCAAAATTGGCCCCGTCCAGGGGGTCATTGATTTTCCTTATATGTGTATAGCAAAAACTTAAAAAATCTTCTTTGAAAAAACCCAAATAGCTAGAGTTTAGATATTAAGTATGAAACATCTTCTAGTGAGTGTCTACCAAGTTTGTTCAAATAAAAGCCCTGGGGTCAAAATTGGCCCCGTCCCAGGGGGTCATTGATTTTCCTTTGTATAGCAAAAACTTAAAAAATCTTCTTTGAAAAAACCCATATAGCTAGAGCTAAGATATTTAGCATGAAACATCTTCTAGTGAGTGTCTACAAAGTTTGTTCAAATAAAAGCCCTGGGGTTAAAATTGGCCCCGCCCCAGGGGGTCATTGATTTTCCCTATATGCATATAGTAAAAACTTAAAAAATCTTCTTTTAAAGAACCCAAAGAGCTAGAGCTAAGATATTTAGCATGAAACATGTTCTAATGGGTGTCTAAAAAGTTTGTTCAAATAAAAGCCCTGGGGTCAAAATTGGCCCCGCCCCGGGGGTCATTATTTTTCCTTATATGTTTATGGCAAAAACTTAAAAATCTTCTCTGAAAAAACCCAAATAGCTAGAGTTAAGATATTAAGAATGAAACATCTTCTAGTAAGTGTCTACAAAGTTTGTTCAAATAAAAGCCCTGGGGTTAAAACTGGCCCCGCCCCAGAGGTGTCATTGTTTTTAACTATATGTGTATAGTAAAAACTTAAAAAATCTTCTTTTAAAAAACCCAATGAGCTAGAGGTTAGATTTTTAGCAGGAAACATCTTTTTGTTGGTGTCTACCAAGTTTGTCCAAATAAAAGCCCTTGGATTTAAATTGGCCCTGCCAAAGGGGGGGCAGAGGTCATTGTTTTTCATTATATGTGTGTAGTAAAAATTTAACATCATGAAACATCTTCTAATGGGTGTCTTCCAAGTTTGCTCAAATAAAAGCCCTGGGGTTTAAACTGGCCCCGCTCCGGGGGGACTATATACAGGTGAGCGACCTCAGGGCCATCATGGCCCTCTTGTTTATGAAAAACACCATTTATGAATGTGTAATATCCTCTGAAAAAAAACAACTATTAAAATGAATAAACAAGAGCTGTCTGTAGGACAGCATGCTCGACTATTCTAAGTGCTTGATAGTAAAAGAGCCTTGATATTGTTAAATTTTTTAAGTTCACAAAAGGGCTAATTTTTTTTTATAAATTCATGTTATAGGCCTTACAGAGAGTCTAATTATACAGAATTGGCTTGACTATTTGGAAGGTAATGTCACAAGGTTTTTTTATTGAGTATAATAATACTAATTACCTATGAATACATAAATTTGACAGAAAAGGTACAAAGGCTTGTTATTAAGATGTTTTATCAAGTAAATCACTGCTTTATTATTATGAATGCATAAAATTGTCCCAAAAAAGGCACAAACCCTTCAGTAGTTATTGAGATAACAGCTTACAAGGAAAACTTTACCATGAATTTCTAAGTTGAAAAAGGGGAGAAAAATCAGCCTAAATGCAAGATTGAATTATGGATCTTTGTCAGTGACCTACAATTATGACCCTAAATGCATATGTGAAGTTTTAGATAAATATCTTTAATAGTTCTATCTTCCATATAGTCAAACCCATGCTGGGGACCTAGACTTGACGCGCGTCAACTGACAAGAATGTTAGTAAAAGAGCTGAAATAAAAGAATATAAAAGTAAAGGAAATGAGTATATTGTTAAAAACAGGTTAAAAACAGAAAAAGTATTTTAGGGAGACGTATGTTCAATCCGGCTTACAGCCAGACTGAACTCGGGGCCAGACAAGTTTATGATTTCAGGTGGTAAAGCATTCCAGTGGACAATTGTTCTTGGGAAAAATGAATATTTATAGTAATCAGTTTTAGTTTGGACTTGTTGGAATGCATGGAGATGGGATGTTCTAGATGATCTTGTAAGAGGGACGATATACTTTGGGAAAGGAATAGCCACCTGGTCATGCAGGATGTTGTGAAACATGACCAGGTGTTGGTCAATACGCCGAAGGTCAAGGCGCCTCCATTGAAGGGAAGTCAACATGTCAGTGACACTTGACATACGGCCAAAGTCATGTTTGACCCACCTAGCAGCCCTTCTCTGGACTGACTCTATCTGGTCAATGAGAGTTCCTGTGTAGGGGGACCAGACCGTGGAGCTGTACTCAAGCTGGGGTCTGACAAGTGTCTTGTATGCGGTTGACTTTAACTTTTCTGAGTGAACCTTGATGTGTTATTGAGATATGTAAAACTTGCATGTAAACATTAACCAAGAGACTAAGTAGAAAAGGGGATATGAATCAGCCTTAATGCAAGATAGAGTTATGGAACTTGGTCAGTGACATACAATTATGACCCTCCAATTATGACCCTAAGTGCATGTGTAAAGTTTCAAGTATATATCTTTGAAGACCGTTAACCTTTAACCAAAATTTCTAAGTTTCAAAGGGGCAAATAATTCTGCAAATATTGCAGACAGAGTTATGCAATTTTGCAAACTGATGTACATTGTTACTATAAATAAGTATTTTAAATTTCAATTGAATATCTCAAGCAATAATTGAGATATTTGACTTTACAAAAAAACTTTAACCAAAATTTCTAAGTTCCAAAGGGGGCATAATTCTGTCAATATGGTAGGCAGAGTTATCCAACTTGTCAATCTGATGTACATTGTTACTATAAATAAGTATTGTAAGTTTCAATTGAATATCTCAAGCAATAATTGAGATATTTGACTTTACAAAAAACTTTAACCAAAATTTCTAAGTTTAAAAAGGGGCATTATTCTGTCAATATTGTAGGCAGAGTTATCCAACTTGTCAATCTGATGTACATTGTTACTATAAATAAGTATTGTAAGTTTCAATTGAATATCTCAAGCAATAATTGAGATATTTGACTTTACAAAAAACTTTAACCAAAATTTCTAAGTTAAAAAGGGGCATAATTCTGTCAATATTGTAGGCAGAGTTATCCAACTTGTCAATCTGATGAACCTTGTTACTATAAATAAGTATTGTAAGTTTCAATTGAATATCTCAAGTAATAATTGAGATATTTGACTATACAAAAAACTTTAACCAACGCAGACGCCGACGCGGACGCGGACGCCGGGGCGACTACAATAGCTCTCATATTCTTCGAATAGTTGAGCTAAAAATCATAGCCATCCAATGACAATTGTCTTTTCAAACAAACAATACAATAGAATAACAATAATTTATCATGCAAACCAGACAATTTTGCTTCTTCCAAATCAGTAAGTATAATCATTTTTGAATTGAATATTTACTTAACCCCAAGGACTGTGAAAGATCTGACAACATTTTAACACTCAAACTGCTGTGGGCAACAGATTCTACACACACAACCAGTACAGACAAAAGATCTGTGACATCTAATCATGGTCTGCAATGCTTGCTATTCTGTCACTATATACTTTGAAATTGCTCTTAAAACATGATGAATGGTTTTGTTTACATCCAAAAGATGGAAAAGTCCATTTAAGATATTTAACATGGCAAGAATCAGTTTCTATTCTAGGAGGGGCGATGGGGGGATTCACCCATATTTTTTAAAATTCACCCCTATTTTTTTAGAGGAAGGGGGAAAATTCTGCATAGACAAAGAAGGAAAAAGATCAACAAATGTAATAAATTCTCACTTTTCAATAAAATCCCCCCTGTTTTTCGAATCCTAGAATAAACACTGAAGAATAAAAACTCCTACCTTTATTCTTTTAAAACTTTCCTGATTGGCAGCAAACTGGTTCCTTAGCAATGATAGATTGTTTTCTTGTGTTCTAAGCTCAGTCTGTAAAGCCTATAAAAAATAAAAGAATAGAATTATTATTGCAATATCATTAAATTTCTTAACTTCAAATTTTATTACAGAATGGTCACCTTGCTTAACCGTAAGACAAGAGCACCATGATGGCTCTACATAACTCATTTGTGGGAAGACTATCATTTATTGTAGCTTTTATCTCACATGCTTGTGTAAGCATATATCTTTTTATTATTTATAATTTATATAATCTAGGAGATTAAATAACAAAAAGACTGTCAATCAAGACTTTCATTTAATCTTTGATTGCCATATTTTCTAACCTAATAACACAACCTATAATCTATCTTTAAAATCAAAACTGTTAGCTTGCTGAGAGATTTTGTAAATGAGCATTTCTGAAAAAAATTAATCATTAAGATGAACATGATAAAAATTTGTTATTTAAATGCCTTAATTGCTTCTGCTGATAATGAGATATATTTCAAGGAAGACCTTTGTTTAACCAAGTGTTACATCAATTATGGCAGTGCCAGGCCAAGATGATAATCTCCAGAACAGTGAACTAAAAATTGTATATGGGCAATCATGCATAGGCAATCTGAAAAGGGTCAAAACTTAGTCCTTGTTACCTGTAGCTGTTCAATGCATGTGTGGTCTTGGCAAGCATCCCGAAGGTTTAGTAATGTTCCAATTCTATCTAATTTTGTTGTGAAATGTTCGGAGAGTTCCTGCAGGTTTTTTGAATCCATTCTTTAGGTCAAGTGTGTTAAGTTTTTACTTTATAAATTTCCTGAAAAAAAAAAGATATTCTAATAAATTTTCACATTTCTGAAGTATGGAATATCATTTTTGGTCCATTTCTTTCTACTGAATGTATTACAGTCTGACAATTAAAACTCAGTTTTAACCAGTTATAATGGTACGAATTATAGTGGTTTTGGCAAACTACCAGTTCAGTGAACTTAATATATGAAAAAGTGTGACAGATTCTGAATATTTTAAAGTTATTATACTAAAGAAAATATTGAATAAAGTAAAAGTTCAAATTTTCAAAGATCTTGTCTTTAATTGCATGAAATTGCACGTTAAACCACAAATTAACACCTTCATGTATGATTATTGGCGTGTCCAATATAGCCTATATATTATATAGGCCTACAATAGATATCTTTAACACTTTAAATTCAGTTCGCCACAGATATACATTGTATATTGTAATATAAATCTGTGCTTAGCCGAAACCTGGGACAGAATCTACCGTCACAGCCGAAACCACAAACTGTTTTATTATAACATTAGTTTGCCGAACCAGTAGTTTGACAAAACCATTTTCACCAAAATGGTACCTGTACTGTAGGTCTGTGAGTCAATATTCCCAAAGCGGTCAATTCTAATTTCTATAATTAGATCTAGTTTATTGAAAATATTAACACTTAGTTTAAAATTGTATCTGTTTATGTACCATTAACAATTATTTCTTGGATCATTGATTCAACTGGAAGCCTAAGTGGACACAATAAAAATCCAGGGGCTAGGCTTGACCCCAAGTTGAGGGGTATCAGTTGAGGGGTGGGGGACTTGGTCTCAAAGTCAAACATCATTTTACGCAAGAGCTAGTGTGCAACTGAAATTATCTACCAAGTGCTTTGGCTTACAAGATCACCTCTTGTGTCAATAATTAATGTAAGTGTAAACAAAATGCAAATTTATAAAGAATTTCTTTTCTTATCAACAGATCAAGGTTGGGATCAAATGATCTCCATGGATTTTCACCCTGTAATTTGCCGTGGGGCAATGACAGACCCATTCCCAATCCAAAATAGCCTAATTTTTTCACAATAGTCTAACATAGATAAAGAAACCTAAAAATATACAAAATAACAACTATAATAATCAATAAAGAAAATAATCAGTTTTAAAACTACCGCCGATATTATGTTGACAGTTATCTCCCTCTACTTTGACTATATTCCGTATCTCGCCGGTATCTAAATTGGCTCCGTAGTACTAAATATATTTGTGCGTTATTTAGGGAGTCGGCCTAGTGAATTTTCGTATGCTTTGTTCTATAGTAAATCACGGATTTATATTACAGGGATCGGACACTCCCAGTTAACCCTAAATAAATGCTTAAATATCTTGTCGTGCACCCGATAAAGGTACATCGATCGATAAACTACTGGCACTAAGCGTAAATGCCGTTCGCAACGGATACCTACTTTACAAAAATACCATATAGCTTTTCCATTTATTATCCGATTTTGGGAATTTAAAGTTTATTTTGAAGAAAAATACTTGTTCAATTCAAATATCTAATTAATTTTTTAAAGGTATAGTTTATTTGTCCGCAACGGCGATTAAAAAAATAACTTGACGAAATCCGCGGTAAATTTACATTTTTTTATATAAAAAGCAGGTATTTGAAATTAATTATTATGGACACGTAATAAATTCAATTTCAAAATAAAAAAGAAGCCAATGTAAGTTATTCACAGTTGATCAAAGATGCAATATTTAAGATTTATTGGGTTATGTAGTCAAATTTATTAACGCACAATTGTTTTACGGGTAATGTATTGCAGGCTTTACAATTCGCTCAACACGTGAAGAAAATATTCATTTTTTAGTACAAAATATTGCCGAGATTTTAATATTGCCATATTCATACAATATTCAAATTTCATTCATAATTTATATCATTATTATCTGTCGGTGCAGTTAAGTAGACAATCATCGTAACAGTAAAGTAGGCCCTACTCTCGTGTGGCTGTCTCGATTCCGGCCTTTTTAATGTCACTCGCATATTTTGATTATTCTTTTTATTTGAATGCCTGTAGAAAGATATTTCTGATATTTTTTAATGTAACACTAGAAAAACAATAAAAATCTTTACAGTTTGAGTCAGTATTATGCGAAATAAAAGTAACTGTTGATTATTTTTTACACATCGCCACGGATTTATATTGTAATATAAATCCGTGACATCGCTTAAATGTCTTTGAAGTTTAATTACTTTTGAAGGGGGTTAATTACCAGGTAACAAGCGATAATTGAAAAACTTTATTTTCAACATTTCATTACCAGGTTGCATGTGATAATTGCAACAATCAATCTTCAAAAACAAATAGAATTTGAATGTATATTTTGTATGTGCGCGATCTTAAACTACAGTCCATTGTATGTGTAATAAGAAAATGATTCTGAAGATGATAGATATAAATACAATGTAAATCTATTTTCTTTATTAACATTTATAAATGAAATTGAAAATATACAAGTCCTTTCGTTGAAAAAATGAAATTAAGCATATGACAAATAAATCATTTGACGGGAATTGTGAAGGATAACTATGAAAAATTTTGAGTCAACATAAAAAATAATATTATAAAACAGCTGTTCTGTATGCCAATAAAAGTTTCTTCCTTGCCAATATAATGAATTCATCTATGTATGAACGCTTTTTTCAATGATCTGAAAATATATTTAATACACTAATTAGTAGAATACTACATTTATACTAATATTCAGGTAATCAAATAAAAGATGTTCAAATCATTTGGAAATAATTCACAGAAAAAAGACAAATTTCAAACATGAATTTCTTTAAAAGTTTTTAAGCAATCAAGAAACTTTTTTTGCATTGCAACCATTAAACCATGTAGAAACTAATTATCTGAATCTGAATCGCGGTAATAAATTGTGCTTGAAGTTAAAGGGCGTCAAAGTGTAGAGAGTATGCCTAAACAATAGACGAATATTTTTTAAATTAGGTACAATTTTAACTCAGCGTTGCAGCGTTCTATCGGAATATTTTCATATATTAATACTTTAGCGACACAAAATAATACTGTATAAATACATTAATATGTGTAAAATTTTTCACAAAGCTGCCATAACACCACATACTCTTGTGAAAATCTGTCATATTTCGCACTCCGCGCGTTCCGCCATCTATCATTCTGTCCACCTTTATCCGATATGCGATTCCGCGCATGCGCGCGACGAGATTTTATCACCATGAGACATGTATACAAAACGAGCCTTCGATCAAAGTAGAAAAAAATTTCAAATAATTGAATGACAAAATGAATCAAAAATGCTAATTTCGTCAGATTCATCAATTAAAAGGAAAACATATAACAAGTACGTCAATGAAACTGTTATCAGGACGATCATAGATGAACTTGTTGCAATATATATCATTTGGTTGCGTTACTGCAAAATTTTAACTGGATTTTGCCATTCATAAAATGTGCATAAAGCCTTATAATAGTCTGTATTTGGTCTTCAAAAACTAAACACTTTAGAGGTAAACATTGTTATTGTTACATTTTTCAATTTTTTGAATACTATTCCTCGATGCATACTCTTGGAGTATTATTGTAAATGGTTCATCATTTGACCTTCATAGACTTGTCTTTGTAAATATTGGCAAACATATACCTTGCACCTACTTTGTTAGAATCGAACATGGCTGTCAAATCGCAATCACCTGAAAATGACATTAGACAGTGTTAATGCAATCAAGTACAGAGTATGTAAATATCAAAACGTGACTCTAACTAGACCTGTCCTGACATATGTTCGAAATCATATTAATCGATGTTACAATCAAATGTTGAGAGAAAAAGAACGGACCCTGAATATTTGTGATAAATTGAACAAATGCATTTCCAATAAATAAATTGACCCCCTAAAAAGCAAACATGTTTGAAGGTATGAGATTTTCTTATCTTGAATCATTTCTGCAATCCTCATTATTCTATATCACTGGTGCCAAATGCATTCCAAATGTGTCTGGATTCATATTATTTCATTTGCAAGCAGAGATTAAATTTGTCCGACATTACAATAGGTATTTCTTAGAAAACTGTTATCCTTTCTAATAAAAAGTATTTAATTGATTCATAAATCACATAAAATGAAAGAGGAGTATTCCTATTCTTTATATCAGCCGTGAAAATGTTTAGTCCGGGATAAAGTGATGAAATAATGACATTTCTTAGCACAACCTTTATCAATACTGTAAAGGTCGAATATCGTATTTACAACTAATCTTATACACCGAAAATGACAAACAAATTATCTCATTAAACAATATCATATATCAAACACAAAGAATGAATGTCAAGTAATAAACATATTACTTAAGTTTCAGTTATTTTATGGTATGTTTTGAAAAAATAATAATCTAAGACAGGGGTAAGCCGTTCTTTCCTGGAGTGAGAAACTTAAGCGCATTGCTTAATACTGATTGGTTAAAGCAGAGATGTATATTTATAATAAACGTTCATAGTTTCAGGAACGGATTCGACAGTGTTTATAAACATTAAGCTTCCTAAATATTCATTAATATGAATAAACTAAAACTAGAAGTGCAAACTGAAGACTTAAATAAAAACCGGGACATTGAGGGTGTTTTTTGTTGTTGTTTTATTTTTGTTGTTGTTGTTTTGTTGGGTTTTTTGCTCACTTTTTCTTATGACAAGAGTATTTGTAAATAGAGAACTCACTAAAATCACGCAACAAATGATAATACGACTAAAACACTTCATATTGCTGCAAAAGTAATGTACACTTCGTTGCAAACATAAGCTGTAGATAAAAAATGAGACTGTAATTTAATTATGGGACGAAATAATATAATGTGGTGACATTATATATTTTACTAGCTCTGAACTTCAATAACTATTATTTCTAGCTGTGTTACTGCAAAGGTCTAATCGTGATTATCATTTTAATTTTCATGATCTGTTAAAATCAAAACATAATTATCATTGAATGTTTATTGCAAATAGCACGTTATAGCAGAGTCATTCTATTTGAAAGACCACGGTTATAGCAAACACAAGTAAAATAAATTCATTACATCAATCATTGTATGCGTAATAATCAATGTATTTGTACTCAAGGGTCAAATTTGTTATTGTTATACCCAACACATAACTTGATCATCGGATGGTTTGTTTTAATCCATTAATACATTACAAATGCAAGTTTAGCACTATCATTTAATAATTTGTTTAATTTAAGTATGGCAATGTAAAGCGGCATGTCACCAGATGTGCCAACATATTTCAAGAAAATCAAACTTTAGACAAACAAACTGAGATTTTAAGAAAAGTAAAGAGATTCAAGATAAAAGTAATAATTTTAATGTTAAATGCGATTATATGTAAGGACCGATTTTGCAGTATTTTTCATCACACATCACCTACGTTAGTAATGCAGTAACGGCTATTTTTACTTATTTTGACCTCGTTTTACGATAATTGACATAGGTTGTAAGTGGCTTTTGCATTATGTAAAAAATGTTCACTTACTTTTTATACATTTACACATTTTTTTTGAAAATTAGCAGGAATCTGGAGGCTTGCTGCTGTTACAGTAATTAAAATTGTTGAAAAAATTCGTACTCAAATACACGTAAATTCATTATTTCAAAATAAATATCAAAATTAATTTAAAAGCAATCTGACGCAAGTCAGTTTCTCTTCTCGGGTAGCATGAATGTTTCTCTTTGGTCTACCTTAAAACACTCAGTCTGTTGTTGTGAATGATATAAACAAATACATGTAGTATATAGTGTTTCAACTAAGTTTTGTAGTTTGGTTGGAAGAACAATAAGTGACCAGACAAGAAACACTTTCGTGGAAACTGAAGAGCTGCCAAGTGTACCTATAACCACCCGACTGTAATAATACTCGTAGTTTAGCTTTATATCATATCTAAATGTCGTAAACTTCAGATATTTTCACTTCCCCTAGGTACGACGTAACTTGCATGTCGTTGCTCAACATCAAGAAGGCACAGTGCATTGGCGGAAGATACGATGAACGAACATGGGATGGCGACAAATAAACATAACGCGGAGGTAAGTGACTATATAAAGTAGACAGTGACGACAAAGTAAGTATGCTAGCGTGCATGAGCCCCTTGCACCGAGTGGCAGCTTAAAAGTCAGACCATTTGC